CTGCAGGCGCAGCGCTGCCCCCCGTACGTGATCAACCTGGACCCGGCCGTGCGCGACCTGCCCTTCCCCGCCAACATCGGTGAGCCTTGCTCCGTATCGGGCTGCTTGCCCTGTCAGTCTGGCGGGCGGGTTGTTCGGACCAGAGGCCTTCTGGCCTCCTTCCGCCGCGTTCGTGCTGTTCCGTGCGTCCTCCGGTGTGAGCCGGGGTGTCCGGGCTCGCGTGCTGTTTGGTTTTTTCTTGGTCAGCGGTGAGCATGTTTGCAGATGGGGTCTGCTTCCCCTCATCCAGAGCAGTGGTCACCCCGTGTGCTGCCAAACCACTTCTGCAAAGCGCTTTAAAAGACAGGAGTTTTAGAGAAAACACCTCAACAGTAAACTAGAGCTGGTGTTTAGCTGTTCCAAAGGGCTTACCAGTTATTCGGTTTGTGAGGGTTCTGTTTCTTCCTGAAGTTGGTCAGCCTGCCTCTCCAGAGGATGAGAAGGGCAGTGTGGAGACCAGCGTTGTTTTATTGATGCCAGATGAATAATTCTAGTATCTGCTGCAGTGCTGGATCTCTGGTAATACAGTCAGGTATGTAAACTTTGTTAACTGATGTTGATCAGCTGAAAATAAAATTCAACTGAAGCCGTTGCTGCCAAATTGATAGTGTTTCCTGTGAATTACATTGGGTTTCACATGTATGTTGAGTGCGTAGTTAATATGTTGGATTTTATTTATTCTGCTTGGGAGATTTTTCCTGTTGGTGATAGATCTATTACAGAGACAAAAGAAGACTTACTAGAAAAAGAAGAGCTTTCAGCTGTCAGCAAATTGATGAAGAAAGAGATTTTACATGATGTCCTAAAACTATTTCTATGTCTTCCCCTTCTAGATATCAGGGACACTGTCAAGTACAAGGAAGTTATGAAACAGTATCCTTTTTTGTCTAAATAATGATATTTGAAATCTCAGATTTTGTGAAAATAGCCTGTCACTTCTGCACACTGTGATGGAGGAGGCAGAAGGTGTTGGGGCTTGCAGTGATGCAGAATGTTGCATGAACATCAGAAGTTTTTTACTGTGTACTACTTACATATGAGGCTAGAAACGTATCTTCTACAAGACTTACAAGACTTGATACTCTTTTGGTCATTTTCGCCTGTGCTAACAGTGATTGTGTCTAATAGTAAGTTTTTACAAATAATAGGCACTCTGCCCACATTTTTTTTTTTTTTCTGTTGTTCTTTCTAAGAGCTTGCATCTTGCTTTGTGGAAGCCAGCAGCCTTTTCCCCATGTTTTAACAAGTCAAATTTTATTTGTTATAAACAAATATGCAAATTCCAATTTGCCTGTAGTAGGTGGAGAAAACTATTTCCACAAGTACTGTTGTCTTGCTGAGTCTCAGAGACACTGGACTGTTGGCTCTTGTTGCACAGTGGTTTGATGTCTGCAGTCCGCTAACATCACGCTGAAATGACTGCACTTTCAGAGGGGCATGAGGGTCCTGTGTCTCCTGAGTAGCAGCTTGTGCAGATGGAGATAATATACAGTGCTTGGATTTGACCTGCTAATGTGACTCTTAAATCTAATATTTTAGACAAGAATAAAGGTGGTGGGGGATAGGATTCTTGATTTTGGCTGTTGTTTGATTTTGGATTACCAGCAAAACATCCAAGTGTAAGTTTCAGTTTGGCATGTAGGTGCATTATTTGCTTTACGGTGTCTGTCTGGTGTTTAAGTATCTCATTAAATAGTGCTTAAGGAGGGTGTTTGGCCTCGTGTTTGGATATTGATAGTAGTGGCCCTAGAAGGCAGTATATACTGATGAATCAGTGCTGGTTCTGATGCAGTTAAAAAAAAAAAAGATTTTTTTGTTTCTTTGAACATAATTGGTATACAGATCTGTATGCATGAAAAAGGATTTGAAATCTTCATCTTTAAACTGACACTTTGAGTATCTTTGCGTCATTCATTCCCATTATTTAAATTCTGCTAAAAATTTATTTGTGCAAGAAATCTTTTAATTATCTTTTGAAGTATAAATTCTTAAAATTATGTGCATTCATGGCATTTTGAAATTCTGAGTTACTGGCTGTGTTGTAAATCTTTTTGTGAAGACAAAGATGGCTTTCTGTATTTTTTGTCTTTGTCCAGAATGGAAAGGCTTGAATAGTGGCAAGGGGAAGCCATGGCGTGGCCCCTCTTCCTTTTAACAGTCGCATGTTTTTGGGCAGGAGAGAGACCACTTTGTGTTTGCTATGGTGTTGCATCACTGAGAAGACTTAATGGTGTCTTAGGGGTGTTGCCTTTTGCTGCGAGGTATCATGTGCAGAGCCAACTCTTATCAGGATTCAAAAAGAAGCCCTCCGAGGTCTGCATAATCATCTGCTTTCCTAAATGAAGTGTCTAGATATGGGCTGGGCCCGAACGGTGGGATAGTGACCTCCCTCAATCTCTTTGCTACAAGATTTGACCAGGTACGAGGTTCCTGTGTGATACTGTGCTGGGGGACTGGGGGTTTTGTGCATTTGGAGTCTCAGAGGGCACTGTTTGATTACCCCACTAATATTTCTTTGGAGCTAGAGCATTCTCCATACAGAACCATGTATTGTACAAGGCAGCCAAAGTGCATTAGCTTTCATTTCAGAGGTTTCAGTTTCACAGCTTTTTAAAAGTAAAATGTAGAAGCCATGTGTACAGAACGTTCTTTAGTCTTTGTACATGGCTGTCCTCATGCACTCTGTTCACTGTAAAATCTTTCGCGTGAATGCTCTGATTTTGAAGTGGGGAAGCTCACTCCTGTAAATGGGTTAAGTTTCCGTAGGGTTATCTGATAATTGACTGCTCTCATAAATCAGTGCTGGGGTGGGAACTTGTGCAAGATATTGAGACAGTGCACAATCTCTTAGTAAAAAGGTGGGGAGCAACTGCATTTGTTTTACTGTTTCTTTAGCCAAGTACTAGAACACAGACAAAATCGAGGTTGTGTTTGACCTGTGCAGTGTCTGAGCATTTTCACCCTTTCTTAGGAGGGCATTTTCATACACTGACATGCTTAGAGACTTTAATCTTCTTTTGACACGTACATGCAGCTGTGCAAGTTAATGTAGTTTCTTTTATGAAATGATTATGGTTTGCTGTTGTGAGCCTAAATACAAAGTATGCTCCTTCTTTTTCAATCAGGTGATGAAGTTTATTGAAAAAAGACAAAACGCATCCAAGTGAGTACATTCTACCAACTTCTACTTTTCTGGGATCGGTGTGGGAAAACCATATGAAATCCTGAAAAGGTTTGCTGCGTGTTTTCTAGTTGTTCAGCCTTGGTATAAAATTTATGTGGGAAAGGGCATAAAATTAGAACAGATAAACTAGGCTTTATTTGGATACATCGAAGAAATGTCTGCTGATTCCAATTCTGCTTTTCTTGTCTTCCATTAGACTGTAATTTTTTCTCATGCACTGTTCAAGTAGGCAGCAACTAATTATTCTGGGGAGTTTGCAGTACCAAGTGTCTGTCATATTTATGCCTTCAACTTTAATAGAATCTGAAGAGAGTATGTGCTTCTCAGTTACAAAATTCACGTAGGACATTTTCAGTCATGCCCGTAAATCCTGTCGCTGTTTGGGAGAAGCTTTTCTGATCTGTAACAGAATAAAAATTTGATTTGCTGTTACGTGCTTGTGGTAATCTAGTCAGAATAGGACCTTGTGCTTAACTTATTTTCCCTTGTTGTTTGTCGGGGGTGACAAAGAATAGGGCTACAAAAATTATTAGGGGACTGGAGTGTCTCTCATAGGAGGAAAGGCTGAGTCTCCTTCTCTGGAGATATTCACAACCCATCAGGATGCGATCCTGTGCAATGTGCTCCAGATGACCCTGCTTGAGGAGGGGGTTGGACTGGATGATCTCCAGAGGTCCTTCCCATGCTCAACTATTCTGTGATTCTGACCAGGTATGTTATTATTGACACACCGGGGCAAATTGAGGTATTCACCTGGTCGGCATCAGGAACCATCATAACTGAGGCCTTGGTAAGTGTTGTCTACGTGACTTGGCAGTGAGGCTGTGTGAAAGAAGTGGCTGTTGAACAGCACGTACTTCTAATTAAAATGTCTTTTACTTTGTGTTTCCAGGCTTCTTCTTTTCCTTCAGTCGTTGTTTATGTGATGGACACCTCTCGCAGTACTAACCCTATCACGTTTATGTCCAACATGCTGTATGCCTGCAGGTAGGAAAAGCTGAAAATGCCATCCACCCGCTTTGATTGCTGAGTCTCTGTTTTGGGGGGGAATCATAGAATGGTTTGGCATGGAAGAGACCTTCAGAGACCATCTAGTCCATCTCTGCTTCTGTGGGCAGGGACATTTTTCCCTAGGCCAGGTTGCTCAAAGCCCCATCCAACCCGACCTGGAACCCCTCCAGGGATGGGGCATCCACAGCTTCTCTGGGAAACCTGGCCACTGCCTCACCACCCTCATCATAAAAAATTTCTTCCTTATGTTCAGTCTATATCTCCCCTCTTTCAGTTTAAACCCATCACCCCTTGTCCTGTCACTACAGACCCTACCAAAAAGTCTCTGTCTCTCTTATAAGCCGCTTTATATACTGAGAGGCCACAATAAGTTCTCCCCGGAGCCTTCTCTTCTCCAGGCTGAACAACCCCAACTTTCTCAGCCGTTCTTCATAGGAGAGGTGTTCCAGTCCTCTGATTGTTTTCAAGGCCCCCCCCTGGCCCCGCTCCAGCAGCTCCGTGTCTGTCCTGTGCTGAGGACCCCAGAGCTGGATGCAGCCCTGCAGGGGGGGGTCTCACTAGAGCGGAGCAGAGGGGGAGAATCCCCTCCCTCGCCCTGCTGCTCACGCTGCTGGTGATGCCCCCAGGACACGGGGGGTTTCTGGGCTGCAAGTGCACGTTTGTGCCTCATATCCACTCAATCTGCTGTTTTGCCTGTTCTCTGTCTTAGTGGTTTTCCCATTGGAGAAGCAAAATAATTTAGGTGCCAGTGAGCATCTGGAGATCGTTGGGTCAGAACT